GTCCAGGTGTTGTTACGAGGGTCATACCTCTGTACCAGCTCAATTCCATCTCCATCCTCTAGAACTGCTCCACCTGACATACAGTTGAAAATGGTTCATAAACATTCAGCTAAAAGTCTATAGATTATGTACATGTCATATTTGTATGATTTTGTCCTCTTATACACTACATGAAAGAGCGTAAGTTATTGCTAGCTGGTAGGTTTCACTATGCATTCATCCCCTCTTCAGTCTTTACCATGACTATCTTGTTCCTGTAGCCTTATTACTATGATTGTTCCAATTTAAAAAATATTTTGTAAAAACTATGTCACTTCCCAATTAAATAAATTGAATATTATATACCTTCACAAAACTGTGGACTTCAAGCATCCTTTAATTTATTGATTAATAAGATTTTTTGTTTTTGAGTTGTTTGGCTCTTACATGGTCCTACTCCTCGTGGAAACCCCCAGTTATTGCAGAGATATTGATTACTAAAATTACATTTATTCCTTAGCAACTGGAAATGAGAACTTGAAAGAGTAAATAAATGTTAGGAATATATGGAACAATTTTTATTTCATTGCTGAAATAGTAAAAAAATTATATGCATGCTAGACCCCGATAACCAACAGGATAGCAAATGCAGAACATTTTCAAACCTCTAACAATACATGTTCCAGAAATTGAAATATAAAAAAGCTAGTATACAGGAGTGTTTATAAAAATTATTATAATCCGTGGATTAGTTTAAAAGTGTTTTGACATTTCATACCAGTAACATATAGCATCCCGTCATGAGCTACAACAGCTGGACTAGTAACCGCCATCTTCATTGGTGCAATGATGTGCCATGAGTTGGTGTCAGGATCATAACGCTCCACTGAATCAAGACGAAATGAACCTTCCCAGCCACCCACAGCATATACACTACCATCCAGCATTGCCAATCCTGAAGGACCAAACAGGCTACAGTAAGTCTCTGATGTGTTTCATTGCTGTAAAGTAGATTACTAATACATCTCAAATGCTCACCCAATTCTGAACGTGGCACCAACATGGGTGCCATCTCCTGCCACACATCCAGTATTGGGTCATAGCGCCACATGGAACGAGAGGCACTGCCATCCGGAAATTCGCCACCAGCTAGGTACAGCGTGTTCTTCCCTGATGCTACTAATCCATGTTTGCTAAATAGGCAAAATACACTTGACATCATTGAACATGTGTATGTAGGAAATGTAAGTTCTATGATCAGTATTTCATGCAAAGTCCATCAGAACCACAATGACAGGAAGCTGTATAAAGAGGATTCCATATTTTGTAAATTTCACTAGATATTATTAAGATGATCAAATCTAGGACAATGAGATATTTTACAATACCTGACAGCAAATGGCAGACAAGCAAGTGTATGCCACTGATGAGACACAGGATCGTAACATTCAACAGACCTTAGTACCACCTTGTCATCTTCTCCTCCCACTGCAACTATTACCTGCACATTTATTTTTACACACATAGAACCATGAAAAGTATACAGACAATATATTAGGTAGAAGATTAAAAGACAAACATATAATTCTGAATGAGCTGACTATTCCTATAACTTACATATTTTAATTGCTATGCTATTTGATAAAACAAGATTCATGCCATCAGAAACAAACTATCAATATTCTAGTAACAGATACTGCCTGTAGATAAATGTTGATCAAAGAAAATGTATTTTCCCCTAAGATAACATGCATATTACAATACAAATTAATGTTACGGCACCACTAATTCAGACCACTCAATAGAAGTGTCAGAGCATTTGCAAATTTTATCTGATAACTGGCGATGAAAATATTTCGATAGACCTAAACCTCTGTGTACATAAAATTTGTAGAAAATTTAGTATGTATGTTTTGTCAATGCCCTATGTCCCTGTATACTTTAGTTCTAGATATTTATTATGAAGCTAATGATATCCATTGAAAATGTTAACATTAATTTTATAAGTTACACAGTCAGACGGAAATGAAGAAACATTAATAAAAATTAATAACACATTTCCATCATGGTTATACATCATTTCATAGAAATAAAGATTTCATTCATTGATCATTTACAAGGGGCATTTCTGAAGCTCCCTATATGTGATATATACAAAAATCAATAGAAACTATATATTGCAACACACTTGCATTTGTCCCTTAGTTATCTCAATTACGGCATCAAAACTGATAGATTTCTCTCATTGATAAGGCACATAACTGCAGCACTGTGTCCAAACACATCTGTACTTGACTGGTTAAAATATTATACATTACTAATCTTTTCAAAACAATCTAGAGCCATTTTGTGTTCAACTGACTTGTATCAAAAGCTCTGGGCTTCATATACCTGTATGGTACCAGCACTGTTACGGTGTCTGGTACGGGGAGACTGCAGCTCAGGACGTCTGTCTGGAAGCAAGTGATACATCTTGGCTTCCTCTACCAGGTGTCGACATTCAGAAGACTGGCGCACTACTGCCTGACTTTCCACACAGTCATGCAGGAAGTAGGGGCTCAGTAGAGGCAAGCGGACATGCTCTAACACCTGCACATAGGGTACAAGTGATTTATAATAAAGCATTTGCATGTAGTTATAATAAAAAAATATTTAAGAATTTTTTTTATTTAGTACAGTAATATTTTTTGGGTACTCTTTGAAGACATTTCCTTCTTCTACATAACTGGTCCTTTCTAAATTAATGATTTACATTTCAGGAAAATACGATGTTTATAAAAAAAATATAGATAAGTTAAAAATATGTATTGAAAATATAATTAACTACTCAAAAATGAGATGTGCTTGAAATAGCTTTGGAGAATAGAGTCAGTGACGACTCTGATTCCTCTTTAAATATACTGAAGAGTGTTTATTCCTTATATTTGTTTCATTTTATGAGGAATACAAGTTTCAAGTAAACTTATTTTTGAGGCATAAATAGTACAATTTAATAATGTGTTACTGAACACATGGAAACATTAACATTTTTGTTCCTCATACACTGCAATTCTACACATATGATTAAACACTCTGTAGCTCATATAAATACAACAATTTACTGTTTTAATTAGTTTGCTTCCAGAAGATCAGTTCTTATTTGGATGAATTTTGCTCATTTGTAGGTCCTTTAGTCTCTATCCAAGATGCACTGCGTTCAGGTGATATACTTCTTGAGGAAGACATCTGTGGTACTCTTCAGACTACATACAGGATATGAAAGATTATTTACTTCACTGTTGGGCCATCTCCAAAATCAATATAGGTATGAACTCCCAACTGTCTCTTACTGGGACACAAGGTTAACGAAACACACTCGAGAGACTCAGCATTAGTAACCAATGAACCACCAGCTTTATTTTTGTCATGGAGTAATGGAAACACTTTTGTTCTTGTTCAGTATTTCTGAATTAAAATTGTCTCTGATTTAAAGCTTAAGGGATCTGATGTGTATATTAGAATTATATTAAATTTGAAGCTACGCAAATTTACCAGGCTTTTTCCTCCCTTTTTCCCCTAGGTGCTAATGCACAGTCTTTTATGTGTGCATTTCTCTATCTTACTTATATAATTTATACAATTAACTGTATCTTTTAACATACACACCTTATGAAAGTCAGTTCTGCGTTGCTCAGGATCATGGTTGAACCATCGTGTAACAGCCTGGAATACAATCTCCTCACGCTCTACCTGCAGGTCATCACTGCTTATAAATTCCATCAACTTGATTGACGGTAAGCCTAGGAACTCATCTCCATGACTAACATCCCAGAAATTCCTGCAGGTAAATGAGAACTACAGGAAGACTTCAGACATTATTACGAATTAACAATATTTTTCAGTCCATATATGACAAAGAGATTAAATGTGGAGATCATATACTGCAAAATGCATTCTTTAAATTCAGCAAATTTCACTTGCCTTGTTGTTCATCAGATGCAGATACAAATTTCCTGTACCAAAATTATTCACACTGCAGTCAGAAATGATGGTTCTGTGTATTTAGCTCACATATCACAGAATTTTTTAATTTTAATCTGTATATCATACAAAATCCATATCTTACAAAACATACTAATTTGATGGTGATAAAGTTTTTAGAAAGCCAATAAAGTTCATATAAAGTACATATTAAAATGCCACCAGTATGGACCAAATTTTATATTCACATGACTCATTTTACTATAGACCTCCAATGTTGTTGTTGTTGCTCCTTGGCTCTACAACCCAGTTGTGGGTTTTCGGAGGTTTCTTGGTCTTTTGAAGTGTGCATTTGTGAGTAATGAGTGATCAGTCCACTGATTCTGCACAATTTCTACTCAATCCTGATTTGACTGCCAGAGCCATCTAGTAATGAATCAGGAGACTTGGATGAGAAAAGGCCGCCGAATTTTGCTTACGAAACATCTCGTTCATGCTCATAAGGTTCTTTTACATGCCGTAAATCTAAGACATGGGCCCGCCGGCTTTACTTCCCCTCCAAAGGAAGTTGTGCTACAGATTTTTATCACCCTTAAAAATCCACTGACCTCGGTCGGGTTTGAACCTACAAACCTTGGGTCCAGTGGCGAGCACGCTACTAACCACTGGTCCATCGAGGGTGACATGGATCTCCAATATCAAATTTAATTAGAATCCATTGAGTAGTTTCTGAGATTAGACAAGACTTGTACATATGAGTTCACTCAGAGTACTTATGTAAGAACACATCATAAAATGTCTTGTGAACACACACAGTTTGCTACAACAATAGCAGCAGTTATTACTATTGTGAGTGTCATTTTATTATTGAATATGTGGATAAGACCCACAAACAGGGATGGAGAGGTTACACAACTGTACATAAATTAGAATTTTATGTTTAATAAAACCCAAGATAAATCAGTAACATGTCAAGTACTTTGAACTGAAATAATGGCTGCATGTGCTTTTGACATGTTGCATTTATTCATTGGTCAATTAATTCAATTAACTTTTGTACAAATATTTCATAGCTTGTGATTTGACAGCTGGATTAAAAAGGGAAATCATTCTCTAACCAATCACTCTTCTTCATATCCAGTGTGCTTCATACACTGTTCTAAAATAATGTGATTTACAAGAGATATATAATTTATTTATTTATTTACTGCAGGAAGAAAACTGGATTTACAAGGAGATGGGCAGAACAGGAAACCCACTAATTCTGGATAAGTATGAGAACAGAATCAGTTTCAGGAGCAGCTTCTTCAACAGAATAATCACCAGTAGACCAATTACTAGTCTTGAGGAACACCAAACTCAGCCCAAGGCTTTGGTCCTGACCGCGCAGGCAGTATGTTCCTCTGAAATGTTACCAACATAGCCCACTCCCATTTAGCACAAGCAACCAAAAAATTACAAGTGTTTAAGAATTAATACATTTAAAAAATGTTGTGTATGTTTCTTTCCTATTAAGTACTTCATTTATGAAACTTATATCATGGTTTAAGTTCCTGAACAATGAATAATAACTAACTTTAGTGTGTATTGCCCTGCCCTCTTCTGAAGTTCAGTGCAGGCGTGTGCTTCAGCAAAGCAGTGAATACCAACACAGTTGTTTGTATCCATATGTTGCTCCAAGAACATACAGGTTGCAGCCATCACAGGTATCACCTGCAGGAGGCTAGCAGCCGACAGAAGTGACTGGACATTAGATTGAGTGATAACCACTGTGCTAGTATAGGCATATTCAAGCAATAATGCCATCATTGCTGACTCAATACCATTCACTGCTACAACTGACTGTTGGGATTCCGCCAGTTTGTTTGTGAACATGGCCTGAAATGAAATTCATACTTTTCCTTAATATATACACGAGTAAATTTGCACAGTTATATTTTGCTTCTAATGAAAAATATCAGAAACTGGAGGAAAAATATAGGAGTTCTGACAAAATTTTGAAGGTTCAACATAAGAAAAAGTATCATACTAAGACTTCAGTCCAATCCACATCACAACAACATATGAAAGGAGATATCCATACTGGAGCTCCACCTGCATTCTTTACACCTTATCATTCTGAAGGTTCCTAGCTCCTTCAAATAGCTTTTATGAGCACGTTAACAAAATTAAACATAACTGAATCCACTTCCATTGAACACACTCAAGATATTTCTAATTTCATAAATATAATTTTAAATTGTTAAAATCTGTATTTATTTGTCACTTATACGAGGGGCGTCCCAAAAGTAAGTTTCCCTGGGGCCGTTTACAGAAACAAAACACAATTTCATGGAAATATTTATTGCAACAGATACAGCAAGTGTCCAGCTATTTTTCAACATATTCGCCACCGGAATTGAGACATTGGTCATACCGTGGGACCAACGTTTGAATACCTGTGTCGTAGAAGTCGCCCGCCTGGGATTGGAACCACTGTGTGACAACCATCTCCGCCTCTCTGTCATTCTCAAAACGCTGACGCTGACCGGACAGGAATTTCTTGAGGTGTAGGAAAAGATGGAAATCACTGGGAACGAGGTCCGGGCTGTAGGGTGAATGATCAAACACCTCCCAGCTGAACTCCTGCAGGAGACTCGCTGTCCGTCGAGCCGTGTGCGGCCTAGCGTTATCACTGACCGCACTTCACAGTCGGCGGGAGCGGGAATAAGAACCTCCATCTTCAACAGCTGCAACGATGCTACTGTGAGAACGCGGGAAGTACCGTTAGTGCATGCGCCATGCTACGTCATTGCTCTATCACGTACGCACAGTCGCTTCGCGCAATATAAGGTTTGCTAGCTGTGGGACGAGTGGGAAACTTACTTTGAGGACGCGCCTCGTATAATAAGTGTGCCTTCTGTCCTATCCAAAGAGACAAATGTAGGATCTTGGGCAACTTCATCAGTACTCCTTATCAGACCTACTTTTTTTACAACTGGAAATTAAATTGGCTGAAGTATTATAAATAAAATGTACAGACTAAAAAATCAAGAAGAAACTCACCTTAAAATATGGGCTAAGTGAGGCCAAAACATTTCTGTGAGCTGGAAATTTTACTCCATCAACAGATAATGTTACGTCACAGAAATGACCTTCCTTTCTTAATTCATTTAAGCCCAACAGGACCTGCCAAGATAGCAAATGCACATGAACCAATAATTCATTTTGATGTACCTTTATAATGTTGAAACCAGTTGGACTGAGTAAATTATAATGGTGTGTGGTGCACCTAACAGAGAATGAGGTTCCTACAGTGACAAGTCTTCTGGGATGTATCACATAGTCTGATAGGTAACTGACCAGCATTTCAAAGAAGCTTATTGCCTCCATTACAGTGCAACATCTCAGAAGACAGTCATCTTCACGTGTTCCTTAGAATTAGCCATTAGGAATAATAACAATACAACTCAATATAAAGGAAAAATTCGGTGAATGCCATCTACATCTATGCTAAAAAGAATCAAAATATTATTTATATAACACATAGAATTGATTATTACACTTCAAACAATAATCTTAGATTATCCTAGCTGAGTTCAGTATGTCTGTGCACTTTATTCTGTGTTGATTTTTGTACTGTAGAGAAAGTACAATTTCACTTTCATTTCTGGCCCTTCCTCACAAAACACTGTTAAGAGTCTTACAAAACTTACTTGGAAGAATAGCATTTTATGATCTTATCATCCATGGCACAAGAAGCTAATTTACCTTTTGAGAATGCCCTGGTTCAACAAATTTATATTCATCAGCAGCAGGTCCATAAGGAATGTCAGCTGCTGAACTTGAGTCGCTGTCAATACTTGGTTTGCGTTGCCTACTGTTGTAAGGCAACCTATTAGTTGGTACACTGTTTTCACCTCCTAAAATAGATTGACCTATCGGTGCTAATAACATTTTTACCTGTTGTCAACGGAGATACTCTGATTCATATGAAGATATTTGCTTATTTTGTCAAAACAATACACTATGATTCTTAACTCATCATATGTCAATACAAGGTTAAACCCGACCCAATCAGTTTATGGGTGGACCACACCAAACTGTAAAGAGAATACCTTTCTGTGCACTTAAGCATAATTATATGATAATGAAAACAGGCGTTATTATGCAGTTTACATATTTGTTTATTAAGAGAGAATTGGGAACAACCACTCAAGATTGAAACAACTTGACTGCAACTGGATGAGATGGCAGCACTAACACTAGAGAATACAAGACGCATCGATCATCACTGACAATTTCTATGTGCCGTCTACTCTTAACAGAACATAAACATGGGGTGTCATGTAAATAACAAGTGAAAACTGGTTAAGACTGGTCATTGCACTACCGTCTCATTTAAAAAGTAAACTTTGTGTGGTTACTTCAGTCTCAGTTAATTGAAATTATTTTGGTGATTGTTATGTACTTTCAAGGTTTTGTTATATATCACGTGATTTCCTTTTTCTGTGTCGCCGAAGTGGAAACATCTAGAATTGTAATGTTAATATCTACAAAATTCGGTAAGCTTTTAGGTTACCAGAATTTTAGGACAATTGAATAGTTGCCAAATGCCTAATATATAGTTAAAATAACCAATATGTTGGGGGACTAGCTCTGAATTGTGTTTCAATAATTGTTTATGATTATTTTTGTAGGTTTTAAGATGATTATCAATTTGAATATTTTGAAATTTTATTATTTATATTATTCTAGGTCGGGCAATTCGTCGAAATAACTTTAAATAAATATATAATTACAGTCCATATAAAAATACATTTTGCAACATATATTTGAATACTAAATTTAAGTTCCCTTTGTAGCCCATACAAGAACAAGTAACGAACTGTGCAAAGATTAGTTTAGTTTTGTTGTGTTCAATTACTTCAATGTTCTGACAAAATTGTAATAAGCTTAAATGTTGTATAACATATTAAGAAAGGAACGTCGCAGACGAAAAAAGTGGACAGCGCTACTGCTTCGTAATCGAGAAGCCTTCGCCTCCACGTAAATTCCAGGACAGTTACTAAATTAGGCCACGATGGTTCTTTCTACATCTTTTCCATGCCATTTATGATTAATATTAGTATCATCTGACAATATTTTGCCCGAATGTCATTAAATTAACCACAGATATAAACATAATTAGCTTGCTTGGAGGTAGATTATAGGCACTGAAAACGTTTATGTATCGGTGTAGTTTTAAGATTCACGATATGTTTTCTGTAATCATGAAATTGGACTGAAATAATTTGAGTCTAATCTAGTCAAGACGATCGTAAATGTTGCAGCTAAGATACGCGTGGATGGTAAAAGGGAACGCTACACTAATGGATCAGCCCCAGTCAAGGGCGATATTTTCCATGGCCACATTCACATTTGCCTTGATCGAATTCACGATTCATTCAATATGCGACTACAGTTTATTTAATTGTCGCCTTTCAATGTGGATATTTAAAAATATTCAAATACCTTTAATTGTTGTGGTTTAAATAACAGAGTATATACAAAGAGAACGAGTTGCAAGAATAATATCGACTCTCGACACTCTCTGCCTCATAATCACGAAAAATGTACTGAAGAGATTAATGTTACAGGGAGTGACACACAAACATATCATTTTATTTCTCATTATAATATGAGGGATGAATAAAAGTCATGTACAGGCATAATACACATATAGGTCTATTGCAAGTTGATTTCAGTTGTCTTTACAGATAATAGTTTTATTATTCAATGCATATTACTAACTTTGAAGGACAATATTGTTGTCAAACATCGCGGTCCAGCTTTCAAATTTCGGCTCGGAAACCGGTTATTCTGACTGAGGTTTTTCGTGGTTTTTCTTAGAAACCTACCGAGCAATTTCACTGATAGTAATCATTAATTACCCTGTCATTTGACTCTGTATTGTATGAGCTACGGATATTGTCGTCAGATAAGCCACAAATTAATGGATAATACTGTTAGCCGCTTTAAATGTCGTATTCGTGTCTTGTATCAAGAGGTTCTTTATGAGTCGTGCATCTGCCTTAGCACTGTGAGGTAGGCATAAACAGTGTGAGCAATCTGAAAAAAAAAATACTTGTAAACAATTTATATAATGTTGAAACGTAATCAGCCTACAAGACTAGGTACTGTATTTATTATTAAATACTTGCCAAGTCCTTGTAAAAGAAGACTTAAAATATTACAGTATTCGAAATTACTTACGTAAAGTTGTGCGTTCTCAGAGCAGGGATTTCTATATTAGACGCCACAAAGAAAACCCCAAATATAATTAAAGAATTGTATCGAAAAAGGGACCTACTATAAGGTACTTCTCAAAATTGCCACCAACAATCTTTGTTACTGAAATAATAGTTATATTGTTAGTTTAAGTCTTATATAGTTTGTAGGATTTGAGGTTTTCACGGCGGTAAGTCCGAAGAGGGCTGTCTTCTGGAATTTAGAGCCGTGTAGTCTGGTAGAAGTTTACCAACGTTTCAGAGGTCCTTGCTGGAGAAAGACAGCCATCTTATTTCATTTGTTTAGGTTTATTTGAACCTCACAGTGGAACAGCATGATTAAAATTGCGGTGTTATTTTCGGAAACAATTTTTTTTTATTTCTTTCATGACGCGTGACTTCCACATTGATAGGTATTTAAATGAGTTAAAAATTAAGTTAATATTACATTTGTTTCCTTAAATGAATTTAAAAAATGAAATATATAGAACGCAGCACAATATTTGTGCTTTCGATTTAACGAACTTTAGTGGAAGTGTTGTGAGGGGAGGAAAGCTAAAAATACATTACACTGGAGAATCCTTCCAAAGAAACGGCAAAAAAATTTCCAGCTGTGAGTCGTACAGGCTTCTGAGCCCTCATGATTAAGAACAAGAGGTGATTCTTAAAACGTGGAGAAGAGTTGTACCAGCTGCATTCATAAGCTGCTTCCTGTACCGCCAGACTCTGTTGAAAGGAGATAAATTAAATGAGATGGGTTTATTTTGGACATTATATTAGTATTTTTGTATGAATGTTGCGCATACCTGCTCAGTAAGATGCTCTCCATAACAGCATGTGAGAAGTATAGGGACCCAGACCGAAATGGCAGCTATAATAAACTTGAAGTAACTCTGATCTTCTGATCCCTGTGTAGGAATGGTCAAAGTTAATGTAAAACGGTTCAGAAATAAGGAAAAAGTCTCACAAATATGTCTTTGCAAAAAAACATATACATATTGTTATACACATATACGTAGACCTATCTTTAAACAAAACGGCGTCACGGGAGGTCACGCCTAGTCACGCTTTGTCACGCTTAGTCAAGCTTCGATAATTTTGGTTGCTTTTCGACAGTTTTGGTCACCTCAAGTCACTCCGACGCACTAAGTCACGCCTAGAAACTCGGTGTCACTCTTGGTAAGCATGATCACGCATGGTCACGCTAGATCACGCTTACGTAAGTTTAATGTATATAGGCCACTTTTGAACTAGTTAGGTCACTTTGGGTCATGTTACGATAAGTTCGGTTGGCTTAGGTTGGGTTAGGCTACGTTAGGTTAGGTTGTGGTAGGTTAGGTTAGGTTAGGTTGGGTTAGGTTAGGGCCTGGTCATGTTGTGCTGTCATATATTTGATGAGTTATAATGCATTACGTTGCGGTTTGTTAATTTTCGTCATTCTTCGACAAATATGGTTACCTCTTCACCCCATTTAAGTTGGTCACGCATAGTCACGCTTCGTCACACTTGGGCAAGCTTTATCACGCTTTCTTAACGTTGGAAAATTTTCGTCAATTTCGATCACCTCAAGTCATTCCTTCATATTAGGTCACGCCTAGTCACGCCTAGTCACGCCTGGTCACGCTTCGATAATTTTGGTTACTTTTAGGCAGTTTTGGTCACCTCAAGTAACTCCGACACAGAAAGTCACGCCTAGAAACACGGAGTCACGCTTAGTCACGCTTACGTTAGTTTAATGTATATAGGCTACTTTTGAATCGAAAACAATGCCTGTCAATGCCCAACTTAAATTTGCGGATTCAGAAAGTGGAATTTATACCGATGATATGCTCTTTTTTCTTTGAAAGTGAGAGTGATAAATAATGAAGGCAATGAAACATATCACGTAACGTAAGTCAGTGAAAACCTGCATGGGATCAATCTCTTCTTTTTTTTTCGTAATAAAAATTGATTGTGATGTGAAATCATTCGGAGCTTTCGCAGTCTCTGCATATTTTAACACAAACTCCTCTTCTACGTATGTGGACATATTTCTTTATTTTAAATGGTTTTTATACTAAATGTTACTTACCAGCGTTACTTGAAATACCGTAGTACACATCATAAAGAGATCCATATAGAATGAAATGAATAATAAAGGGCTGTAGAGTGTGTTTACGTCATCGCAAAATCTGAAACAAAGATCAAGAAAATGTTTGAGCCCGAAGAGGTACGTGATTTGATAGAGTGAAAACCGACGTCAAGCCCACGGGTGTGTATTTCGAAAATACAGACAATCCGAACAATTGTGATCAGTGTTAGAATTATAACTGCCAGATTCTAGTAAGCTGTTTGTCGACCATTCTGAGTGAAATTAGTAGTGAAATGCCTGCAGTTGTTCTAGTGACGCTTCAAAATAAATTACTATTTTAATACAACATCTAGTCTCTGTGACGACTATATTGGAATTGGGGTTGTGACGCTGTGCGACGTTACAGGTACGAGTAGATACAAACGTTTCAGAGAAACATACTTCATCCCTGAAGACGGAATAAGTATGTTTATCCGAAACGTTGATATGTAATTACCTAAAGATCCGTAAGGTATTTCAACCCGAAGACAATAGCGACGGATTTAGGCATATTTATGGAATAATTACAGGAAACATCACAAAATATTTTGTATATTTTGAAAATCGTTAAATGGAATTCTTATTCAGGACGAAACAGCGACTAATTGTGCCAGTAACGCTATCTTGCGCTATTTTTGCATAAAACCTTGAAGTTGTCGTTGAATATTAGAGAATATAGGTCATATATCAGCCCTAAAAATTACAGAGGTTTTTTAGTTAGTGTAGAAGGAAATATAAGAATGTTTACTTAGGCCAACTATGACTTTGGAAGAGTTTTATCGTAAATTTAGGTAATATCTTTACATTACCCTAAGGGCTGAGGGAAATTACAGAATGTTTTGGAAGGGTAGTTGATCCCAGATACTGTTTGAAGAGGGTAATTCCCGAATATAAATAGGGATTGTGTGAGATTTGTATGAAGATGGCTGTCTCCTGAGTTGTAGCGCCGTCTAGTCAGGTAGAAATTTACCGATGTTTCAGAGGTTTTTCCTGTCTCCATCATCAGGGCGTCGGTAAACTTCTACCAGTCTACACGACTCTACAACCCAGAAGACGGATATCTTCACTTAGATAGAGTAAATTATATGAATAGGAAATATTTATTGTGCATTACTTGCGCAGTATGTAGCAAGAAGAGGTTGAAGGCTGTACTTACTCAAGAAGAGCCTGGTGGTATCGGATACAGCGAACCAAGTAATCTGCTGTTTCATATCTCTGTTGGGCAATTCCTGCTTCACTTTCATTTAAATCTGTGCCTGTTATCCACTCAGGTTCTTTATTCTTGTGTATAGCCACTTCATTTCGTTCGCAGTATTTTAGAACTACAACTTTATTAAATTTTTCCTTAGCTTGTAGCACATATCCGGTATCTTTAAGAACACTCCCATTGGATGACTTGGAGTTTCTTAAGCCTTGTTCTGTGTCCTTTATGGAATGTGATAGCAGTTTAGTCTTGGTACAGTCTTTCAAAATCGTGGCTAATATTTTGAAGTGTGCTGCTGTGAATGTTGTTACTGAGAAGAACATTAGGTTATAACCTGTAAAGATTTGGACAAGGCTGTATATCGGGAAAGCTTGGTAAGCCCACAAGATCTGATAAAGTGGGGAGTGTGTAGCTTTCGTTGGTAGCCACATTTTGAAACAGAAATACTTCCAGTGAGTTCCCTGGTCGGGTATATTGCTTGTGTTTTCTTCCTCATTCTTCATTTCAGTATGCCATAAAATAAATGGCAGTATAACCCATATTAGAATAGACGAACAATTTGATATTATGACTATCCACGAGAAAATTGCATTTCGACGCAACGCCTCGCTTAGAATGGACGAGTGTTTCCTGTTGAATTGAAGATGTTTTGTATAGCTGTAAAATGTTGATTGCATTTTTGAAATAATTAGTTGCAATTGCTTCCTGTTCAACATTAAATATAATCCTATTGAGCTATTACTGATAGCAGCAGCTACCTCGAACGTTATGTCCGTAATATCACTGACATTTCCCCAATGCTGAATAAGAGCAAATATCTGTGCAACCATTGCCGGTACGAACCACAGAAGAGAAAGCGCTGAATATATGTTGTATATCGTTATTTTCCATGGTCTGCTAGAAAAGGTCTCAGGTGGTAGGATACCTGCGAGTTGTAGAAATATCAGAAACAGAAATAAATGTTTTGATGAATTTTCCTCTTGCCAGTTATTTATTGAAGAGCGAAATATTCCAGATCCCATTTATGGAAATGTTTTGTAATTACGATCAGCGTTTTTAATCTTATTGTAATTTGGAATACGAAGCTGAATTGTGAACTTAGTGTTCATCAAGAAGATCCGCCTGGTAGACTAATATTCACTAGAAAGTGGTTCGCTTCGTGAGACTTCTGACACGAAAAGTTGCCATGTAGACGGCATATTCTTATGGAAAAATGTAAAGGTCGGTACTTTTGGAATGTGAATTATTTATTAGTGGGTGTGGAGTGTTATTAGTCTCAAAATCTAGCTTGATTAATACTAACTTTTCTGCAACATCAATTCTGAAACTGGAACTTCACTAAAGAATTCATTATCTATATGTTTGTGAACTTCTAGTAAGTTCTTTAGATTCTTTCTTCCTACGTTGCTGAAATTTTCTTTTGACGTTTTTAACCCAGAGGTGAGACTGTTCACAGAAATTGAAAACATTAGGCCCGACCTTCGTCTGAACTTACGGTTTTTGTATCAGGTTACTAGAGTGACTAGGTTGCGCGTTGGTCGATCCAGGTTCAATTCCCGACAGGAACGCTGCACCAATATAAACACGAAAACGTCAGGGAAAACTGTTCTGGTCGGAAGAATTCCATTTTTGGAATGTTTCTATGTGCATTGGGCCCGTTAATTTGTTCCTAATAAAACCCTAGGATATTTTTTAAAAAAAGAATCAGTTTCGAAAATGGCCGCCTTCTTGATTGTAGCGCCGTGTAATCTGGCAAAAATTTAGCAACGTTTTAGAGGTCCTTGCTGTTTCCAACATCAGGACGACGACCTTAGTAAATTCTACTAGACAACATGGCGCTATAACCCAGAAAACAGCCATCTTCATATTAATCGCTGCGCAATAATCAGGTTTTGAAGAGAGTTCCACAAGAAATGTCATAACCTCATATTTATTTTGTACACTGTTTCACAATAATTTTAATTATCTGTATTTAATAATCATAGCAGAGATACACAGCAATCACTTGAATTGCAGTTATTTTAATTACAACATATTTATGATTATGATTACATATTCGTGCATAAAAACCATTGCATATGCGTGCATTTAACATTTGTCTAAGAGACAGTTTTTAATTTAAAGTAACTAAGGAAGTTCATATTCCTTGCCTACTTTCAGCAAAAATATATTGTAACTATTTGTAATTATTTTGCATATAAATTTTAAATTATGTGTTTCATTAATATTTCTGCTGTTATTCCTACTTTTTGCTGGTGCATTCACTTTTCATACACGTTATGCCATTCAGTTTATTACATGTTTTATGATATACTGCAAAACGGTGTATACAAAATATAATTTCGTCGTCGATGGTAAAACGTTGTGTCTGTTCATCAGTGCCACACCATGAACGTACGGGGACAGTGGTGAGTTAGCTCCATTCATTCTTAACGTCTTCGATAAATCGAGCAGAGTACCTTCAGACTCCGGCCGCTTTTCTCCCACGGGAAATGTAGTGCGGCACCAGGAGACAATGGGCCACAGAGTCGGTGTAAACGTGGTGGTGATATGAAATTCTTTTGCCCCTGCCGAAGACTGAACTCAAGTCGTCTAGCCCATAACTAAGAATATCACTGACATTCTGCCTCGACTCGTTTTACAATCGATGACGTTACTCAAATACGTAATCTATCTTACGTTTCAAAATAATGTATTCTTGCACTACAGATGAGTTTCTACGTTACTAATTTAATTATTTAATATATATCTGATGCGTTTTGCTAACAGATTATTGTTAGGATGACCAAATTGGATAGGACGTTTATCATGCTTGGGAGAGATGAAAAATTACCATAAAATGTTTTTATGCTAATAAGTGGTTTTAAGTGTGGGAGGATGTGGACTCGATTAATGCACATCAGTATACGGAGTAGTGGCTGGCTTTTGTGAGCACGGTAGTGAAGAAACAAGTTTTATAAAAGGCGGGGAGTTTTTTGACTAGCTGATAAACTGTAATCTTCTCAAGAAGTTAGTTTAATGTTCCTTGCAGTGAAATGAAAAGAAACTCAGACTGCTTCCATACGTTTTTATTGTTCTCCTATTGTTCTGTTATTCCTGCATACGCATGAGGACGGTGTAGAAAGCGTAGACACTGTTCGCTATCTGAAAAAGAAGGGAAGATTAAAAAATCTGGAATTATTTTCACTGACAGTTCTTTAGAAACACATTTGTATCTTATCAGCTCATATCATATTAAAACCCAGAATCATATTTAGATTTATAATGCAGCAATGGTGATATTTCTAATGAAGAAATTGCTCGAGAGTAAATTTAAATGTAGTACGTCTGCGTTTTGGTGTTCTTTCCACAAAACAAAGAATAAATGTATTGTCCCTGATCAAAAGAGCAAAGAGTATCAAAAACGCGCTTGACAGCTTTATATATATATATATATATATTCGTCCGTCTGTCCACACATGACAAGCTGAGAACCGTTGAACGGATTTTTATAAAATTTTATATTGGAAAGTTTTGGTAGAATTTGTACACATATTGCAATTTTGTTTAAAATCGACAACATTGACGGACACTTTTTTGAACACCTACACGCGTAATACTAATACGTATGTTGACACATTACATTAGCAAATCCTTCCAGAGACACTGCAAAGAAGTT